CGGGCCCGGGAAAACAATAGTCGACTGGTCGACCGGGCACTGGCGTCGCCGGCCGGGCACCGAGGGCGCCGGCGAGACCCGAACCCAGCGCTGGCGGTCGGCGCTAGACAAGGAGGTAGGGGGGATCCCTGGTTTGTGGCGGTGGTGCTGGATGTCGGTGGCGGAGGTGGAGTTGTTTGTTGTAGTAGTGCAGGATCCCAGCGGGCGCGGATGTCGCGGTAGTCTGAGTCTGAGTCTGCGGTGACGGAGGCGAGGGAGGGAGAGGCGTGGGAGAGGAGGTGCGGCGTGGTGTTGGAGGAGAGGTTTGCGGTAAAGACGAGGAAGCGGCCCTCGGTGAGGGTGCCGAGGCACTCCTTGTAGCCCTCCTCGACGATGTCGGTGGGCATGCGGTCGGACTGCGAGGCGATGGGGACGGGGGGGCGGGTGTCGGGGAAGAGGGATTCGCAGTGGGCGCTGCCGTCCCAGTTGCCGTCGCTGTCGCGGTGGGGGAGGTCTGCCTTGGGGAGCTGGGGGAGGGAGAGGTCGGGCTGGACGGTTAGCGAGGGGATAGGAGTCAGGGAGGTAGGGGATTAGGGGGATTACATTGTCAAAGTCGAATGCGTTGACGAGGTTGGACATGTGGGCGCGGCGCCAGGGGACGAGCTCGGGGGTGGTGATGTTGTGCACGCCGCGGGCGGAGAGCCACTGCTCGATGAAGAGGATGTGCGATGTGTGGTCGGCGTGCTCGGTGAAGACGCGGCCGCCGCGGGTCCAGGGCGAGACGATGTAAAAGGGCACGCGGAAGCCGGGGCCGGTGGAGACGTCGCCAAAGATGCCCATGTAGTCGTCGATCCACTCGCCGGGGGTGCCTTTGGGAGAGTGATAGGGGGGGACGTGGTCGCCCCATCCGCCGGATTCTGATATATCAGCATGAAGACGCAAAAAGGGGGAGGAAGGGGATTACCATCATAGCTAATTAATAAGGCCGTCCGGTCGTACTTTGGACTCTTTGTGACGGCATCGACAATCTTCTGCTGCAGCCAGCCGCCGTCCTTGGGCGAGTAGGGGGCGTGCTCGGACAGCTCGCGCGGGCCGACGATGAAGCTGACCTGCGGCAGGGTGCCGGCGGCGGCGTCCTGGTAGAAGCGGTCGAGGCCGGGATAGGCGATGCCCTTGTCGGCGAGCGGGCTGCCGGGACGGGCATTCTGATACTGCTCGAACCAGACGAGCGGGTTGTCGTCAAAGTTGTCCTCGCCCTGGTAGACGCGCCAGGAGACGCCGGCGGCCTCGTACAGCTCGAAGACGGTGCGCCAGCGCAGCGGGTAGCAGTTGACGCCGGGGGCCTCGCAGCCGGGGGTGTTGTTGTTGTCGAGATAGACGCCGCCCTGGTCGGGATGCTGCGGGCTGCCGGGGGCGTTGATGGAGCCGCTGACGAGCATGACGCGGTTGGGGTTTGTGGCGGTGATCTGGGACTGCTGATACATGTCGGCGACGGTCCAGGCGTCGGCAATGGCAAACTGCACGGGCAGGTCGGGGCGGCGCAGATATCCCCAGCTCCAGGGCGTGTTGTTGCGGGCCCAGTGGTTGTTGAGGCCGTGGTTGAGGGCGGCCTGGTTGGCGCGGTAGCCGTTGCTGCCGGCGGACATGCACTGCACGGCCTGTGACCAGTTGGCGGCGGCGAGGTGGAAGGGCAGGATGTAGGCATCTTCATATGGTTGCAGCCAGACGGGCAGGCCGTCGTTGAGCTGCACGTTGGGATCCTGGAAGCCGCGAGCACCGGCCATGGTGCCAAAGTAGGTGTTCCACGAGCGGTTCTCCTGCATGAAGACGACGACGTGGTCGATCTTGCTGAGGCCAGCAGGAGGATCATCATTATCGCTGTCTCGCAGCTTGAGCGTCAGGGTGGTGGCCAGCACGACGGCGGCGGCGAGCTGGAGATGTTAGAACAGATATCGAGATATAGAGAGATGATACTCACACTGGCGGCCAGCGCCAGCCATCGCCAGCGCGGCCAGCGAGAGATCCGGGGCTTGTCCATTGCTTCATGATGGAAGAGTGGCAGGGCAGCACGGTGTATTTATCTGGTTCAGGCAGAGTTTGATCCATGTCTGAGCCCGAGTCAAGAGTCTTGGATGTTCTTGGATGCAGCCTGGGCGGTTGATCTCTGGATGTTTATCAAATATCACCATGGAGCGGCCGGCGAGTCGACGGCGGAGGGAGAGAGAGAGAATAGATGAGAATCAGAGTGAGAATAATCAAGAGAATGATATTCAGAATGAGAATATTCAGAATCACAATCACTGGGTTCGGTTGCTCATCCTGATCGCCTTTGTCTTTGCTCTCTATTCGATATCTCGATCAGCCTCAACATCTCCATCTCTGTCAACAACAACAGCATCCTCCTCCTCTACGATTACCCTCCGCTGGACCGTCTCCTCTGCTCCCGCCCGCCCCGATGGCGTTCTCAGGCCCGTCCTGCTCATCAACGGTATCTCCCCTCTTATCCATCTCCCTCATACCATCTCATCGCTGATAGACCGCTGCCCCGGCCCAACCATCCACGGCCGCCCCG